GAGGAAAACAGAAGAAACAGGTTTCTTTTAGGGTGAATTATCCCTCTGAAATCTATTCAATTTAAAAGAAAATCCAAATTGCTGGCTCCCCTGCCAATTTCTTATGGTTTCTTATCTATTCACTTTCCTTAAACATTTCTCCTCCCCTCAGCTGTGTGAAGCAGCAGGGGGGAAAAAAAAAAAGAGACATAAAAATGACCTTCGGGTACTACTAAATACACAAATTACACATTTAAAAATCTCCCCCCCTTGTCTATTTAAACATCAGAAGATTTAAACAGACACAGACAGAAGTCTGATCTTTGAATGCTCAGCATCCTTTTTATTTTCTTTTTAATCCATTTCTCTCTGGTTCCTGCTCATCAGCTCAGCAACAGAGATGGTTGGGTGACAAACCCTGCCAGGAGGTTTAATTCTTCACCAAACTATTTGCACATAAAACTCTTTTTTAATGGTATGGAATGACAGCTATTGACATTTTGGGTTTATCTGGGAAGGAGCACTCTCACACAGACTCACTGCATTGAGCTCTCTCCTGCTTCTCTCCCAGGCTCTTGGGAATGTTTGAACCCACCTGAGCACCAGGAAGAGGGAGATTCCTCCATCCGTGTCCTTTCCATGGGATGTTCCATGTGAGCCATCACTCCTTGGTCTCCGTGTGTGTGCCTAAGCCTGGTATTAAATAAGACACTGGCAACTTGGTTTGAAACCTTAAGTTATTCTTTTGGGGTTTTCCCTGCGACGTTTGGCTCATTAAATGAATTCCTTCCTCCCCGACGTGGTTTGTCTGCTTTGGCTTCGGGCAGCTCATGGATGTGGTGGGTGGAGGAGACCCCTCGGTCCCCAGCAGCTCTCAGGAGTAACAGGATATTCCCATGGAGAGGGGGAAGAGGCAGGGAATGTGAGAGAAGAGTTCAGACATGGGGGGGAGGATCATCACCCCAAACTTGGCATGGGCCTGGCCACCTCTCGCTGCTGCAGACCTGGAGCAATGACAGCATGAGGGACATGTTGCATCAAACAGATGCCCTGTTTTTGGGAGGGTCTTCACCTCCTCTCTGCCCTTAAACCAGTCCTTTTTCAAACCTGTAGCCCTTGCAACCCCATGAGCATTCCCTCCAGGTCCCAGGTGAACAGCACCGTGGAGCAAAGAGGGACCTGCTTGGCCCTGTCCCTGTCACGGGAGAGACCTGCAGGTATCTCTCCTTCATCGACACACTGCCTGTCCCAGCCAGGAAAGGCCCTTAAAAACCCCAAAACATCAGATAAAACACCAAAAACATTCTTTCTTCTGCATCATGGACAGATCCAAAAGTTTAGTTTTAAAGGTTTCCTGGAAGTTGAGTCTTGATGAATCAGCAAGGGAGAAGGAAAATGGGGAAAGAACGGGTATTTCTGGGCCAGGTGCCACCTCCACCCTCCTGGCACAGGGTGACTGGTCCCTGGAGTGCAGGTGGTGACTTGCCTGGGATGGAGCCCAGCCAGGATGGGCTCCCTGGATGGCTCCTCTCTTCCAGGAGCCATCTGGGGGCTGTGTGATACAAGCTGGTGACTCTCTCCCTCTTCCTACCTGCAAAACAATCATCAGAGCGTCACCACAGGTGGTGAATAAATTCATGGCAGCACAACCCCTGGGAGCAGAAAACACTTTAATTTGTCCCTTTTCCCAGCGCCCTCCCTCTGGCTTTGCCTGGGAATGGAAGGCGTTTTGCTCCGACGGGGTTGACTTCAGCTGCCACTCGCTCGTTCCTGTGCAGTCACTGAGGAGCAGCTGCTTTCAATTCCCACTGTTTGATTCAACTGCTCATAAAAAGCAACATAAGCTGTTTATAGATGCAAGATTAGATTTGAGCTCCTCTCTGTGTTATTCCTACAGCTCCCATTAGGCAGGATCTGGGCACCTCGTGTCTTTAATGTGCTATCCAGTGTTTTAACCTCTTAAAGGACCGTGGTGACAGGGGGAGAAGGGACCCTGCTTGCTCTGGGGTCACGTTTGTCCTTGTCACCACTGTGGCATCAACTCCTGCAGAGGAACGTGCTGTGGTGGAGAGGAATGAGCAGGAGAAAGGCAGAGACTTTCCTGGACTCACAGAGGAAATCCACAGCAAGGACTGGGGGCTCTGGAGCTGCAATATCCCTGCTAGAGCCATGACATCCCTACTATAGCTGTGATATCCCTGCTAGAGCCATGACATCCCTACAATTGCTGTGATATCCCTACTATAGCTGTGATATCCCTACTATAGCTGTGATGTCCCTGCTAGAGCCATGACATCCCTACTATAGCTGTGATATCCCTACTATAGCTGTGATATCCCTACTATAGCTGTGATATCCCTGCTAGAGCTGTGACATCCCTGCTAGAGCCATGATATCCCTGCTAGAGCCATGACATCCCTACAATTGCTGTGATATCCCTGCTAGAGCCATGATATTCCTGCCCTGGCAAGCCAAAAGGCTGCACTCTCACTCCTCTATGCAGGGCACAGGCTCTGTATTTAAAACCTCCAGCTCCTGTGCTGACAGCAGTGACACTAAATTAAAACCAAAGTGAGACCTGCAAAGAGACAGACAGAAAGGGAGCAGTGGGAAACGACAGAACTACAGGAAAGTGTAGTTTTCCACGTGAAAAATCCAGCCCCTGAGGCACCCTCGGGGTAAGAGCCTGCTGTGCTTCGCTTTGGGCACCTGCTCTGCCTCTTTAGGATGAAGCAGAGCTGGTTTGTAGCAAAGCAGGTTGGATTGATGCACCTGAACAGGCACAGTATATATGTCTGTACCTCTCCAGCTATGTACCTCTGAATATGCCTCCATGCCTCCTCCCCTGGAAAAGCTGCTCCTCTCCTCCTCTGGAAAAGCTGAGGATTCCACAGAGTGAGTGGTTTTATCCCCCAGACATTTATAAAAACTTCTGTGGATGACAGTGAGTGATCCCACAGGCAGACCTGCACTGGAGGAGTCTCTGTAAATCCAGATCTCCAAAGACAACAGCAAACACTGACCTTTTACAGTTTGGATGCTTTACAGCATCCAGGGGACTGAGGAGAGGCAGAAGGAACCCCCACACTCAGGAGAGCCTGTATCTCCTCAGGCTGTGATAAGACAGACTCTCATACCAAAGAAGGTCTGGATGTCAGGAGTTCTGTGCCCTGTGGAATGGGAGACAGATGGAGCCAGCTTTCATCCCCAGGAGTTATCAGCAGTGCACAAAATCAGGAGGAGGACGATGAACACAAACTGTGCTCCTTGAAAGGCTCCTCAGGGCCCCAGGCCACGTACACACACATCACCATCATCATCATCACCAAAGGCCTCTGGGGAGGTGACACTTCACTGTCCTGTTGCTCACCCCCTCGTGTCTGGTGAAATGACTCGGGTCAAGCTGACACTGAGCCAGGTGTCCATCCCAGGGGAAAGCACTGCTCTGTGCCCCGTCTCCTTATTTGTCTCAGGTGGGGGACTGAAGAAAGCTTTGCCTGCTCACACCCTGAAAGCAAACACCTGCAGATTTGCTGCCGATAACAAACACAACTACACCTTTCAGAGACGGAGGGGAAAGAGGCAGGTTGAGCCCTCTCTGCTCCACACACAGATTTTATCCTCACGTAAAGATGCATCCCCTGCTCGTGTGTGTTCAGCTGCACATCTGGATCCGGCAGCTGAGTGCAAGTGCAAAGCACTGGGAAGAGCAGGACGGAGCACAGAGTCCGTGTGTAGGTGTGTGTAAGGGTGGTGTTGTGGCTGATTGTGTTTCAGGAAGCCCACAGAAGGATTTGGAGAAGGAAGGCCTCTGCTACTTGCAGGTGGCTTTTGGTAGGTCGGTATTTTTAATAACTTGAGGCTTAGCTGTGCATCTTTATCCCATTCTTTTGGGAAAGTTCTGTGTGCCAGGAGACATGGCACCTTCAAACCAAACTGTAATTGGCAAATCAACCCCTTTGTCCCCATACCTCAATCTGTGTGTTTTACTTCTGGATATGAGGGGCTGGAGCGTGTCCAGGGAAGGGAACGGGGCTGGGAAAGGGGCTGGAACAGCTGAGGGAGCTGGGGGGGCTCAGCCTGGAGAAAAGGAGGCTCAGGGGGGACCTTCTGGCTCTGCAACCCCCTGACAGGAGGGGGGAGCCGGGGGGGGTCGGGCTCTGCTCCCAGGGAACAAGGGACAGGAGGAGAGGGAACGGCCTCCAGCTGTGCCAGGGGAGGGTCAGGTTGGACAGCAGGAGGAATTTCTTCCTGGAAAGGGCTGTCAGGCACTGGAAGGGGCTGCCCAGGGAGTGGTGGAGTTCCCATCCCTGGAGGTGTCCAAGGAAGGACTGGACTTGGCACTGAGTGCTCTGGGCTGGGGGACAAGGTGGGCATCGGGCACAGGGTGGGCTCGATGATCTCAGAGGTCTTTTCCAACCTGAATGATTCCGTGATATCGTGGCTGAACCTCCCTCAGGACCCGTCAGAACAGGACCTGGGCAGTGCTGGCCCCAACCGTGGGAACGGGGACAGGGCCGGGCTGCCTCTGGACACGCCAGCGACGGCAGGAGGGAGCCCTGGGACCAGCACCGGGAGGGACGCGGGGTCTCCCCACAGACCCGGGGAACCCCAGAGCCCGTTTTGTGGCACAAAGTCCAAATTTCTACATCCCGTGGGCACAAAGGGGCCCTGAGGGACGAGCCCCAGGCCCTGCCGGAGCTCCACCGGCCCCTTCACGCTCGGCCATTTCCGTTACCCCTCGGCCATCTCCGCCGAGGCTCGGGCGGCTTCGCCCTGCGTCGGCCATCTTCGTCCAGACTCGGCCATCTCCGGCCCGGCTCGGCCATCTCCGCCACGGCAGCGCTGCCGAGCGCGGCTCTCCCAGCTGTTTTCCGTCGGCGCTCGGCTCTTTCCGCCCCCGCCTTCGGGTATTTCCGGCGGGTCGTTCGGGTGTTTCCGCCGCCGGTTCGGGCGGACTCGGCGCCCGCCGGCCTCGCTCGCTCCGGTAACGGTCGGTGCGGGTTCAAATGAGCCGCGGCCGGGCCGGGCCCCGCCGGGACTCGCTCTGAGCTGGGCCGGCACCGGGGCCGCGACCGGGACCGCCCCCGCTCGGGCTCGGCGACCAGGAGGCGGAGGCCGGGGAGAGCAGGATGACGGTGCTGCAGGAACCCGTCCAGGTACCGACCCCCGGGCGGCTCAGGCCCCAAGGCCCGGCCCGGCCCGGGTGAGGCCGCCCCGCCCGCCCGGGGCCGCTCCCGGGGGGCTCCTCGGCCGTGGGCCCGCAGGACCTCCGGCTCCTCCGCCCTCCCTCCCGCCGGGCTTCCCCTTCCAGCCTCCCGGCCCCATCCCCGCGGCCCCGGGACCGGCCGCCCCTGCCCCCCTGTCCCCCCTCGGTCCCCCCTCGGCCCCGTGGCCGGTTTGGCTCCCGGGAAAGGTCCCCCCCCTCCGCCGCAGATCCCCCGGGAGACCTGTTGATACCTCGCTCACCTTGCTGCGTTTGCTGCCGTGTCGTTTTTAAATGCTCACGGCGTGCTCGGCTCCTGCGTGTGCGAGTGAAGGACGTTCCTCTCTCCCTTCGGGTTGGTGGGAGACCTGGGGGAGAAAATAATGTAAATTCCGGTTTTCTACCACGTCTCGGTCTCGCTGCGTTTGCCCCGATGGGCTTCCTGCTCTTCCCATCCAAAAGACGTGATTCACACATTTGAGAGTTGCTGTTTCTTTCCGCAGTTGCTTTATGCCCGTTCTCTAACTCTTCGTGATCTTCGTTAATCAGTCATCTTATTCGTGTTCCCATTCTTTATTTTATTATTATTTTTAGCTTTTTAACAGGCTGTCTTGGGGTTTTTCTTTTCTAGTTACAGCAAGAGGTTCCTGGCACAGGAGTCCTGGCAGAACACGGTTGTGTTCTGTAACGAACACTGTGAGAGTTCTTGCTCTTGGCTCTTCTCCTTCTAATGAAAAGGTAGAAGGGGAAGAAAGTCTTCTGTGGAAAACCACCCTTCTGGCTTGACCCTGCCCGTGCAAGGTGGTGACAGTGAGGGCGCTGCTGTAGACGTGGGGTTTGTGCCCTCGATGCCACCACACTCTGCTCGTCCCCTCTGAGGCCAAGGGTCAGTGCAGCGCTGGAAAAGCTTTTGGCGACCTGGCCCCTCTCCTGCCCTGGTCATCCCACAGCACTGGTGTTACCCTTGGAGCTGGGCTGGGTGTTTTGCACCAGCTGGGTACTCTAGGAAAACATGGGATTACAATGGGAGAGGAAGCAGGAATGCAGTGCAGAGTGAATGACAGGAAACAATACTGAATGTTTCCGGTGCTGTGCTAATTAGGCTGACCGAGTGGAAAATATGTGCTATTCTGAGAGCTCTCTGGCAGAAAACTGGGGTCTGCTTTTCACATTTCAGCAAGGAAAAGACCTCTCTAATGCCCTTCTCCATTCTTAACCTCTTACCACCTTGGATGTTTTGATGAGGCCTTGCTATGTTGAATGTATTTTTAAAATTAAATATGTCTACTTAGATTCTGCTTTCAAATGCCACATCATTCCTTTAGCACTGGTTTTGCTGCTGTCAGCTTTGCTGCTGTCCCTTGCTTACAGCAGCACTGGTAAGTTTAGGAATTATTTGTGACTGGGTGAAGCCCGTTGTGTTTCTGAGTTCCCAGTTTAGCTGAAGTCCGTGTACTTAGTTCTGTTTTTCTAATTTTTTAAACACTAGTTCTCATTTTTGTCATTGCAGAGATTTTTCCTGTCTGTCAGTTCTCTCCCAGCCTTTCAGATGTCTACAGGGCTCAGCATTCCAGGAAAAAAATGCCCTCCTTACAGCTGTGATGTTATTTATCTATCGCAGCACGATAGATAAATAACAGAATCTATGTTTGGATGTAGCTTTATAAATCTTGGGCTGCAATTCCATGAAATTAATGTCCCAAAAGGCATCCTGGTCGCTGGTTAGATTTTTACTAACTTTTTTTTATTCTTTTAAGTTGAACAAAACGCCAGAGTTTACAGCTCTGATGTGGTCGATTTAAAACCCTTCCGCTCCAACATAAAACTTTGTATCCCGTGTGTGCTGAGGAACAGGCTGGATGCCTTCCAAATACTTCTGAAAAAAAACATCTTGGAAACAAAATGAGCACTTTGCTTGGAATTTAGCTGTTCAAGGTGATCATCTGCTGTGACTCACTGGAATGGTGCTTGAACTTGGCTGGGAACGTGCGGCACCGAGGTCTGCGTGTTCAGGGGGCAGAGTTTGGTAACTGGGAAAGGCAGCACAGCTCAGCCAGAGCTCTCCTCCCCTCTGCCCACCCTGGAGACGTCTTAAATCATGGTAGAATCTGCTTAGCATGGCAGTACAGGCTAAAAAGCTCTGAAACTCGTTTCCAAGGCTATATAACTGTCAGAAGAGAACGTCTCCTTAAGAGCTCTTTGGCTTAGAAATGAAGTGACACTTGGAAAATGGACGGGATTTTGTGGATAGAAGATGGACCTGTCTGAATGTGATTTTATTTTCTTGCTCTCCTCTCTGAGAATGCTTCACTGCAGGGCTGTGGCTGGTATGGTAGCTTTGGAATTCCCTGCTCGCTTTGCATTTGCAAAGTAATTATTTTTAAAATGAGTGTTTAGGACCTGGAGGTTCATCTGGTCTGCGAGCACGCTTGAATAAAACTTGGAAACGCTTCCAGCTTCTCTCCTGTCCACGATAGAGCTCTGAGAACAGGGCTGAGAACACTCTCCTGTTGTGGTTTAGCAATTGTTGGGTACCACTAATGCCATGTAGATGCACTGTGCCTCTGCTAGAACAAACTAAATTACTGTGCTATAAAGAGATCGATGTTCCTGTCCGAAAAGGTGCACAAGAAATCTTATTTTTTGAGGCACAGTCATAGTTTGGACATCTGTTCTCGTGGAAAATCATCACTGCATAAGTATGGCTGATTCCCTGCTGCCTTCCTTTCCCTCCTCCTGCTCTTTTAGGAGAGTATATGTGAGGATCCAGGCTTCAGCATTGATCGGCTCAGGGCACGAGGCACCTTTTGGGCTGCAAAGTGACAGTTGCTATGTAACAGGGATACTGTTCTACCAGCCACTTGTGCTTTCACTGGGACTCTGCTCAGCAACGATTGTTATTTGAGCTGGTGTGTAGTGTAACTCTCACAATGTGGCTGTGACATGGCCCCAAATCCCTTGTGTCCCCTCTTAGCCTTTGGCAGGATTGTTCCTGGCAGCTTGCTCTTGTTTGAGAAGTCAAATGACCCTGATTTCACCACTCCCACCCCCACACCTTTGTTTTGTAAGCTCGCTGAGCCTTGCAAAGGCAGGATTTTTAACCTGGAGATGACACAACTTGGCTGGATTCATCTGAATGTCACTTGTGACTTGGTAAAGGAGCTTCTGGGAGCAAAACACAAAGACCTTGGGCTGCTCTCACTTGGGTATGGCCTGAAAGATTTCAGCCCTGACCTTCTGCCTCAGTTTTTGTACTGCCCTGTCTGCTTGGAAGCCTGGGAGTGCTTCAAGGTAACAGGGAGTAATCAGTTCAGGCAGGCTCTGAGGCTGCACTTATCTAAGTGTGGAATACAACCAGAGAGAAACAATAAGGAGTTTGTGTTATAACAATCAAACTAAGAGAATTCACTTTTAAACGCTTTAAAATCCTTTCACACGAGCTTAAAAGCAGCAGTTGGCTACTTAAGTGCATTCTTGGGACCTACTGATAGGAGAAAACAGTGTCTCTGTGGAGATTTTGTGTATAATGTTTGTGTGTAGTGCTTGGGAACTCTGGTGTGTGCTGTTCATGACGGCTGTGTGGGCATCCTGTGAAGAGAATTCGCAGTTTTCACACCCTGTGTTTGTCAAGTTTGTGTTGGAAGAGGGAGCATATGGTACATGTAACTCTGTGATGTTTGGATATTTTTTTTTTTTTTTAGATGAAACCGGCGCTTGCCTTTCCCACCGGGAATTGCATCGCAGGCTGGTGTTGCTTTCATTCCGGGAGATCTCTTCTAGTTTTGGAGTGTTTGATGGGTATCAGAAGCTGATTCTGCTTGTCTTTGGTTGCTGGTGAATATTAGAGAAATCCTAGACCACAGTGCCTTGAGTTCAGATCTTGTTTGGGATCGTTAATGGCAAAACTGCTGCAAAATGGCTTTTTGCTGCTGGTGGGAATCGGCTTCAGAACTGGAGCAAAGACATCAGATGGGAAGGAACTGCTGTCCTGATCCCAACCCTCAGAGCACCAGCCTGCACACCACCCTGGTAGATGGGGAGGAAAGGCTAAAGAGATCTTAAAAGACATCATTTTTCCCATCCCATCCCGTTTCTATGGATAACAGATGACTTTTAACCTGATCTGAAGGAAGTTGGCTGAGTAGTTTGTGTGAAACCCTCTCACGCCAGCCCTGGCCTTTGGCTGGACAGCTTTTGTAGTTCAGCTGATGGTGACAGAAATGCAAGTTATTATGGCCCTGCTTTAGTGGTGCACAGTTTGTACACCTGTGTGTGTGTTTGGATTTCACTGGAGTGGTGCCATCTTTCCAGTCTGCACAAATGTTGGCTGTCACAGACTCAGGCTTGGTGTTCATGAAAAAGAAAAGAGCACCCGTAAGGAGGGAGCTGGATTTGACTAAGTGTGGGTCCATGAGCTGAATTCAGGAGTAGATTTTGTTCTATATGGCTGTATGTATCAATTTGTCCTTTTAATTTACATTGCACTCATTCTTGGGTGCTGCTTCACAGGCCTAATTAGTGGCAGTGAAGAGGTGGCTGATGAGCCAAGACCCAAATAAAACACCACACGAAAAGCAGTGGATCACGTTCATCAGGGAACACGGCTGCCTCTTCAGAGAAAATCCTTTATATATAACATTCTTAACCAACACAAGTCTTATAATGACCATCTTGGACACTGAGAAATTTCTAGTCCTGTTGGGTTTTGATTTGGCATCTCAGGAGGGGATGGTTTAATGGGATATGCTCTGGTGACCAGCTGGGGAGGTGGGTTTGCTTCTACATTTACCTAATGTGTTGGTTGGTGTAGTTTGCAGTAATTCCTGCCGAGTTTTGCACCAGGCTAAAACTCACTGTTTCTGAGGTTTTTAGAAGATTGTGTCTGGTAACTAGTGAACAACATTCTTGGATTGGTTCATGACTTCAGTGCTAATTTTGATGGGTTTTTCTTAAGTCAAAACAGCTACAACTTGACCGGCGCGTTTATCCTCCCCCCCTTTTTCTTTTTTTTTTTTTACAATTCCATAAAACCAAATTGAACTTTGCCTTTTGCCAGTAAGAGCTAATGAATTTTGCATTTTTAAATCTCCCTCTAAATCCAGGTTATTCCCTTGCCTTGCAGGCTGCTATATGGCAAGCACTTAACCACTACGCGTACCGCGATGCCGTGTTCCTGGCAGAGAGGTTGTATGCAGAAGGTAGGTATTTTACAAATATAAACGTGATGTTTTGGGGGTTTTTTTTCAATTTTAAATTTAGGATTTTTGAGCCTCTGCTCCAGCTTTGGTTTTTCTTCCTGTTCTGATAATGAAGTTTCACTTTCTGCTTGGGGAAAGCAGAATACCTCAGAATTAGGTTGGAAAATCAAATTGGGGAACATCAGCAATGTCATTTTACAGTAAAACCTCCTTAAAAAAATTAGACTTGGAGTTGTGTGTTTAAGTACAATGTTTACAGTGGTCTGTTTTCTGGTGTCAAGTGGGAGAGTGTTGCTTTTTTAAATAACCTTAAGCATTCCATGTCTTCCGAGGGCACTTGAGGATAAGGTGCAGCACACGAATTCTGCAAATTGGCTTGACATTGAAAGCTGTCTTTGCTAATAATGGTGTTCAGATACGTTGGTTGGTGTGTTGGCTGAAAGAGAGAATCTTGTGATGGTGAGAGCAACTGAGACAGTGAGAATCAGAACATATGGGACAGCTGTCTGCAGTTGAATTCCTGTTAATTGTTACTTCATTGTAGTGCTGTCGGGTCTGGGATGTCTTGGATACTGGGCAGGCAGCAGTAACACATCTCCACGTTTTCCTGGGACTTTCAAACACGTTTTTTGTTGTGTTTTAGCCCCTTTTCTTCCTTTAACCTTTCTTCCATGACCTCAGATAAGCTTTTTGATCTCCTGTACTTCTTTCTCTTTGTTATTGGTGGCCAGCTTTTCTTCTCTACTTTGAAAGGTATTGTCCCCTAATCACTATTAGGAAAAAACTCCAAACCCATATAATTAAATATAATTTCTCATGCTAAACAACCTGAGCTTATAATGTTAATTAAGCTGTATAAGCTATTTCATGCTCTGTTTTGTAATGAAATGTTTTGCTTCCCTGCCTGCCATGCTCTCAATGCACTTCTTTACAATGCAAGCACAAATCTAATTTTTTTTATTAAAAAAACCCCTCTTTTTATTCATGTCAAGGTTACAAATGAAGTCCTGGGTGTTTGATCTGGTGCTCAAATGAGAAGTGTCGTGTGGAATATTATGGAACTCGATAATCCAGTTGTGCATGAAGGGAAATAGTGTTTTAGGGGTGACAGAAATGGTAGGTTGAAGGGAATTTGCAAGGATGTAGGAACGAAGAGAATCCCCTTTTTGCAGCAGCCAAGAGGAAAAATATCTGCCTTAGTACTGACACATCTTTACAGAATAATTCTCTGCAGGAGAACTTCAAACAGCTTTTTTTCAGTGACCAGCAGTGCTGAGGGAAAGCAGCATGAACGCTGTCACTTGGTGCAAGCAATTAACTGCTCACAAAACATCTGGCTCCTGGTTAAAATAAGTAGTTACTCTGCAGAGTAGAAGCTACAGAACCTGAACACCGTAGCTCCACGTTGGCAGCAGTGATTTCACCCCGAGAAGAACTTTTAAGTCTACCTGCAATTACTGTCCTTGTGGGGACATCTGTGGCTTGGTCGTTTCCCAGAGCTCTGAGCCTGTTAAAGTAGTGGATAAAAATTGATTTAACTTGAATTTTCAAAAAGATCTTCTGGTGGTTTTAGCATAAGGCCAATAGAATGCCCTCTGTTTGGACATTCTCTGTTTCCATTGTCACTGTCTAGGTGATGACTTAAAATTTGAGTCAGTTTTCAGTGTAGCAAAGGATTTGGGCAGATTTCCCAAAGAGGTTTCTGTACAGTGCTCATATTGATTTTTCTGAAGGGGTCCCTGTAGGTGGATGGACAAACATCAAAATTGTGTCTTTTACTGCTGAATTCCATTTGCAGGATAGTGTGTTCTGACCAGTATAAAGTAATGTGGGTTTCTTAATTCTTTAGAGTTTGCAGTTGCTTGTGTTCATGGACAGCATTTGATTTAAAATATATCATTGGATGAGGGTGGTTTGAGTGGAACATGTGGGGAAGTGCAAGGTCCAAAGAATGGGCTAAGCCACCAGGGCTGTACAGAATCTGGGAGTTTACAGGAAGGATTCCAAGGGTTAGTTCTGTCCTTTGTGCTGTAATCACAAGTGAAATCAGGCAGTCTGGCCTCAATATGAAAACTGGATGCCAAGTCAAGCTCTTTGAGTAAAACATCCTCAGCTTGGGAAGAGGATTTATAGAATCACAGAATGGTTTGGGTTGGAAGGGACCTTAAAGACCTTCCATTTCCACCCCCTGCCCGGGGCAGGGACACTTCCAACTAGCCCAGGTTGCTCAGTGCCCCATCCACGTTGTAGGAGAACTTGTCCCTATCACTAATTACCAACATAAAATAAATAAAGCATCTGAATGGTGATGGTTAAGCCACGTTCCCAATCAAATAGTGAGGGTAGGCAGCAAAAAGGACAAAGTGCTGGGGAAGAGGTGACTGAGTTTACTCATTAAAATCATCACATATGCTCCACTGAGTGATGTGAAGGTAAAGCATCGAGGACTTTAGAACATGAACAGAAGTAAAATTGCAGACACAGAAAGACTACTTGAAATTGGGCTTAAAACTGGCTACTTGGGCTGGAATAGATCTTCCTTCTGAAAGCTGTTGTACTTCCTGACAGCCACTGTTGTGCCAGTGTTTGTGCACTGCTTAAACCAGTGCAAAGTGTCAGTGGGAGGTGTGCTGATACTTTGAGCCAGGTCTTGGGGTGGCCAAAAGGTCGTTAAAGCAGCTCTGGAATGGCTGCTTGGCTTGGCTTGCTGTTGTTTTTGCAGCAAGCTGGCTAATCACTTCTTTAGGTTGGGTAGCCAGAAGGATCAAAGTTCTCTTACAGCAGTAGATATTAGGGGTTGTTCTGACTATCCAGTGGCATGGAAGTTTGGGAAATGCCAATGCATAAAGAAATGCACTTCGTTTAGCAATGAATTTCTCTGATATACCCATTTTTTTTCCATCCTATCCCAGCTGGCTTTTACTCCCTGCCTCTAAATTCTTTGTAGTAACAGGATGAACAGCTAACTGATGATTTTTTTTAAAATGTATTTTACTCTTCAGTACACTCAGAAGAAGCACTGTTTTTACTGGCCACGTGTTACTACCGCTCAGGAAAGGCCTATAAAGCTTACAGGCTCCTAAAGGGACACAGCTGTACCACCCCCCAGTGCAAATACCTGCTTGCAAAATGTTGTGTGGACCTCAGCAAGTAAGTAAATCCTTTATGTTCTGTCCAGGGTTTACAAAGGCATTTGTTTTTTTAGCTTGGATTTCTCTCTGAAAGCTGTGGTGTTGCATAAACTAGAAATTCGTTGGGCCTTCAGCTCTCAGTTGAATTCATTTTGCTTTCAGATATGGACCTAACAAGCATTAACCTATATTGCAGAAGCCTCTAGAAGGTGTTGAATAACTTAGACAGGAGTTGTCAAGCTGTGTAGAGGGAGAAAACATTGATTGCAGAGATGACTCATCAAGTGTTTGCTTTGGGTTTGTGTTTCTCTGATATTTTGCCTATTTCCTGAAGTGTTTCCAGTGTGTTTCCATTAAGGATCGGCCACTTCCCTCAAACACTGAGCTTGTTCCTCTTATGCACTTACTGCTAATGGGGGTGAGGGAAGAGGTGGCAGGCAGGACTCTGTTTTTAAAAAAACCATGACAAACCAACCTGGAACCCACATCCAAGAATCCTGTATTCAACATCAGAATTAATCTTTACAGAATCACACTGTCAAGGTGTCCTGCAGGTTTTCTGTGGTCTGACAGCAAGATTTTTTTTTTACTGAAATGGCTTGAGCTTCAGACTCTGATGCCCTCAGAGTTTCTTCATAAGGGTATTTCATGTCTACATAGATTTTTCAGCTCAAATGCAGGCAACTGTCTGGCTGAGGTACAGATTTGAAAGGGTGAGGCATCAAGAAAGGCAAAAACTTTGTCCAAACTGCTTAAAATGCAGTTTGGGTTCTTTACAGAAGCTTAAATGTCTCTCTACAAAGCAGCTTGTGGTTTTGGTTTGTTGTGGTTTTTTTTTGTTTGGGTTTTTTGAGTGTCCCTCTTTCAATGTCAAAAAAAAAAAAGTTTGATTTCCTTGGGATTGGTCAGGGGATGTTTGGAGTTTCACATGCTATGATGTGATTATTCTGCAGGATTTGTGATCCTCCTCATGACATGTAGCCAAACACAGCCCTCTCCAGAGTGTGCAGGGAAAGCTCCTTAGTCTTTGCTACTCTCTTTAGTGGGCAAGTCCTTTGACATCTTTAGAGTAGCCAGGATGTCTTGACTTGTGTTTCCTTTGCCACTCCTGGAGCTGTCAGGGTACAGATTTCTTTGCACCTTCCATTGAAAGGGAAATCACGTTAATGTTCTGCTTCAAAAGGTCCCGGTGGAATAAATTCAAAGCTGATTGTTCTCTCCCTTGCTTTTACAAAATCTGCTGTGTGCACACAGTACATCAGCTCCTGTAAGATTTCTTAAACATATTCCTCAGAATTTGTTATGTTTAGCTGTCACTGCTGGTATTCTATGAGCTCATTTACCCAGCTCTGCCTGGGAGTGGTCAGTGCTGGTAGAAGCACCTTCCTACAAGTAAAATTTCAAGTGGAGGCAAGAAGAGGTGATTTGCTTGTGCAGGTGTTGGTCTCAGATGCCAGAAGATGCCCAGAAGTTGCATAAAGCCATTTTCAAACCTGAGACTGAGTGGCCCATTCCATGTGAGTGGCACCACTGACTGCACGTGGAGTAGGTGCAAACTGAGCTTTGTTCTCCTTTTGAGCCCTTCTTGCAAGAAAGCAGGGCATTAAAACCCAAAATACCTGCCACATCCCAAAACTGGATCTTAACTGAGCATGTGGGACCTTACAGATTGTATTTCTCTAAGAAACAAAGCCAAATTAAGCCTTGTCTTAGCTTGCTAGTACGTAAAGCACCTTCAAAAATCGAGTGTCTGAAAGACTTTCTTGTCCTCCATCCCAAGATCAATCACTTTTGGAAAAGTCCTGTTGTATTTTGTGTCTCTGGTTTTGGAGTGGGGTGGGATTTGGGGTTTGGTTTGTTTTTCTTCCCTCCCACTAGAGCTGTTCGGCTTCAGAGTCCTGAACCTCCCTGTTGTAGAGGAACCCATCAATTATTTAACATTCATTTGCAGGAACTTTTGGGTTGTCGTTTGAAACCTGTGAACACTGACAGTGGATTTCTGTTTTTGTTTGCAGCAGGGTGAAAACACTGGACTGCCAGTACTGTGAGCCTTGTAACCCCTTTAAACCTCTTGTTTTTTAAAAAGGCTTGCAGAAGGAGAGCAGATCTTGTCTGGTGGAGTGTTGAATAAACAGAAAAGCCATGATGACATTGTTATGGAGTTTGGTGACTCTGCATGCTTTACACTCTCCTTACTGGGACATGTCTACTGGTAAAGTTGCTTTTTCATTTTGCCCAATAAAACTTGGGGAGTTTTCACTTGGCCAAGCCCAATTTTAGTCAAACATACCTTTAGTCACCACAGGACACACCTGTCTCTGGGTTACACCGTTTTGGAGCATGATAGAGCAGTTTGTGGAATCCACCTAATTTGGGAATGCAAGAATGGTTTGTTTTTCACCCAAAGCTTCTGACTGAAAACACAAATGCCTCTTTCCCAGGTGGTTAAATATGCAATCCCAGAGTCTGCTGTTTTGGGGATTTTACCTTGGGATTTGCTCTGTGTTCTTCCCTAAGAAAGACTCTCAGGGCCTGTTTTTCAGTGTTGCCATTTAGATTTTTCTGTGTTGCACATGTGTAGCTCTAACCTTCAAATCAAAGTGCTGAGGATGCCAGGCAGAATAATTTGACAACTTTAAGCATTTTGCTTTTGCCCAGACCCAAGAAAGGTTTCAGTAAATGGGAGTGATTGAATAGGAGTTGTGGGGTGCTTGGATTCTTCTCTAGTATATCTGTTCTCAGTTATATTCAGAACTATTTCTTTGTAGCCAAATCTTTAAATGTTCAGTTCAGCCCCTAATTTAGATGCAAAAATATTATCCATAGATATTTAAAATGGCTGCAAGGCTGGCAATCAGGTTGCTGTTTGCAAAAAAGAAACAAGCTGTTGCAAAGAACAGCATTTTCCTAAAATGAAAATTCTCAAGCTATTCTAGTGCTTATGTAACTTTTTTTTTTTTTGACAACTGTGTCTAAATATGTCAAATAACTTCAAAGGAACTCAATATTTCTCTGTGGCTTGAAAAATGAGGAATGTTGCTGTGCCTCTCAACATGTTTTTTTGTTTTTCAACTCCTCTTCTGGAAAGCTCTCTTGAACAAAAGTGCTGTTCTTAAGTTTCCCCCATGAACTGTTCCATTCTTTTTTGCAGCAAGACAGACCGGCTTGCCAAAGGATCAGAATGTTACCAAAAGAGCCTTAGTTTAAATCCTTTCCTCTGGTCCCCTTTTGAATCACTATGTGAAATAGGTGAGTCTGCAGACCTGTTTTACTCCTGAGGAGGTTTTCTCTGTGTCTGGTTCTGTCAGCCTTTCCCTTCTGCCATCACCCGTGACAAGGGTTGTTCTGCTCCTTGTCCACAACCAGTCAGGGAAACGGCAGCAGAGTTCTTTGGAGAGGTTTTGTGAGCAGCAATGAACTTAAAACTCTTTGCCAGTGTTTAGGACTTTGGTATTGTTTTCTCCCATTTTCACTGTTTGTACATTTTTGGGTTTAACGATACCATGTGTTCTCCAACCTACAGACCCTTAGAAACTGTGTTTCTGAGAATAGCTTGAAAAAACGAGCCTATTCATAAATTGATTGTCAAGGGGTTTGTAGTGGAAGAACACTTCAGATTTAGTGTCAGGGGGCCCAGAGCAACCTGGTCTAGTGGAAGGTGTCCCTGCCCATGGCAGGGGGTTGGAACTGGATGATCTTTAAGGTCCTATCCAACACAGACCATTCCATGATTCTGTGAAATGTGTTAAAATACTTAGTCCCTGTCCTTGTTTCAGACTGAATATTTAGAATGTAGACTCAGGAATAACTATTTAAATCTCCTTCCGCTCTTACAGGTGAAAAGCCAGACCCTGACCAAACATTTAAATTAACATCTTTACAGAACTTCAGCAGCTGTCTGCCCAACACTTGCACAACGTTGGTGTCTAATCACAACATATCCCACAGGCAGCCCGAGAGTGTCCTCATGGAGACGCCGCAGGACACAATTGTGAGTGTTGCTGAAGTGGTTGTAAAATCACTTGCTGAAATCATTTAAAGCAGTTTTTCCAGCTTAACTGAGAAGTGTTAACGAAACCACACTGTGAGTATTTAACAGCTGCCTTCCATTCTTCAGGAGTTGAACAGAATCAACTTAGAATCCTCCAATTCAAAGTATTCCTCCTTGAACTCGGATTCTCCCGTGTCTTACATTGACTCAGCTGTGATTTCGTCAGATTCTGTCCCTCTGGGCTCAGGAACTGCCATATTGTCTAAACAGGCTCAAAATAAACCAAAAACTGGACGGAGTTTACTGGGGGGACCTGCAGCTTTGAGCCCACTAACTCCAAGGTGAGTCCTTGGGATGGACAACAATGTGCTGTTGGGAATTTGGGATTGGGAACAGGGAAGCTGCTGCACACTCAAACACACATGTTGATGGAATATTCTACATAATGCTGCAGAACTGAAACCTAAACAACTTCAATAACTGCTCTTGGTCCTAGCATTGGGCTCTTCTGGTTTTTAAACAAACAGTTGGTGGTTTGGAGAGGAATTGTTGATTCAGGATATTGCTTTATTGCCATGTTCACACTGGAAAAATCTCTAAAGGAATATAGTTCTGCTCTGGAGTAAATATATGATGAAAGGCTACCCTGAAGAGCTTTTCTTGAAGAAGAACTGTCTTGTAAAGAGCATGTTGTGTCCCATATGTCTTATTTAGGCAGCATTAAGGTACAAGCCATGGATGGTCTGTGTCTTGGGTGTTTTGCAGGCAGGCAAAGTTCTGTGTTCTTTGATTTCAGGAACAAGAATATTTTCTGTGAAAGTGTCTTTTATAAATGAGGGTTTTAAGTTATAGAGGGTTAACATAAATCAGTGAAGTAGTTCTGAAATACAAGTTGATCATCTGTGTCAGGGCAGGGTCAGGTTGGATCTCAGGGAAAGGTTCTTCCCCCAGAGGGTGGTTGGCACTGACCAGGCTCCCCAGGGCAGTGGGCACGGCCCCAAGGCTGCCAGAGCTCCAGGAGTGTTTGGACAACACTCTGAGGGACAGGGTGGGATTGTTGGGATGTCTGTGCAGGGCCAGGAGTTGGATCAGTGATTCATTGTGGGTCCTTCCCAGCTCAGGATGTTTTACGATCTGAGTCTCTGTTTAACCCCAGCTCTCCTGCTCTGACACTGACCCTTCCTCTCTGTTTTGTTCTCAGCTTTGGAATTTTGCCACTAGAAACCCCAAGCCCTGGAGATGGAACCTATTTACAGAACTACACCAACTCCTCCTCTGTAATCGATGTGCCATCCACTGGAGCACCTTCAAAGAAGGTATTTTGCATTCTGGAATAGAGTTGCTGCTCCAAGAGCTTGACATTGCAGTGCACTCTAAAGAACAGTCCATAATACAGATAAAAAACCACAGGAGCTGAGTTTTTTCCCCACCCAAAATGCACAGACGTGTCCAGGCTGCCCTGCTGGTGTTGCTGGAGTAACCTGAGGAAGTTGCTATGTTTTCTGTCACCTCCTGTCACAGAGAATTGTATAAATATTGATGCTTCTAAACAACAAAAGATTCAAACTTTTCAATGTACAGGGTGGAGCATGAAGACTTACAGTTTTAAGTTTTGTTTAATTAGTGTATTTTCAGAAGGAACTGAAGCTCCTGCTTTCTTGCAAGCAGTTCTTGAGTTCTGGTGTACAGACCAGAGTAATAAAAATCCTGCTGGTGGTCTGTGGGGAACTGAGAGAATGGTGCAGTTTCACTCAGCAAAGTCTTGTGTAGAGGAAACTAAAAACTGTCTTTTTTTCACTCAGGAAGAAAGTGCTGTAGTTGCCATAGTGATAAATGAGAGGTGGAATGCTGGTGACTGTTGAAGAACTATTTGTTCCTTTCTAAAACCTGAGGATCTTTCCCTGTGATTTTAGCAAATCTAGAAGTTGCATGGGGGGGGTGTTGGTGTTTTATAGGGGGGCAACTCTTTGAAGTAAAAACCCAGTGCAAATAACACTGTTGAATCCCTTGAAAAGTAGAATTTGAATTTCCACTTTTTTGCTCTGGACAAATCTCGGTGCCCATCTTGCTCTGCCCTTCTGAAAGGGAAATTTGGGAGCTGTGCTGAAACAGTCTGCTGGGAGAGAGTGTTCCACGTGGATCCAATTCCCAGCCTGGAGTTGCTCAGGGCCAAGCAGTTTTCCGCGGCACATTTGAAAACAGTGCATTGTGCATGTGTAGGGAGGTGAATTTCCACGAGTCTGAAAATGGAAATAGTGCAGTGCAGTTCAGAGGGCTGGAAAGTTGTGGTGGAATCCAGGGGGATTTGCTGCTGTTTTGTTGCTTTGAGTGTGACACAACAGCACCGAGGTGTAAGTTTGCTGCTCCATCCTTATCCCCTCTGCCCAAATGCCTCAGTGCTACTGCCAAAACACAGGTATTTAACACATTTTAGTACAATTCTGGGCTGTGCTTTGCCCAGTGCAAGGGATGACTGGGCCAGTGTCAGTTCTGCTCTCAGTGCTGGGCGAGGTTCGGGGGAGCTGTGGCGAACCCGTGCCTGGCTGAACCCAGGCAGTTTCCTAGGAAACACTTACGTAAGGGAATGAAACATCAGGATGAATCCAAAGGCTTCCTATCTGAGTGGGCAGGTGTGCTTGTGGCTGCCTAAACTGCCCTCTGATAACAGGAACTGGGAAGGGAAGGACAGAGCAGAGGTTGGGTAATGCATGAATCAGCGTTGCTGGTGCTTCCCTGATCCCACTTGTCCTTTTCTGGGGTCTTAAGGAACATCCCTTCCAACCAGCCATCACTCAGTTGAACGTTGGTGTCCCTGGAGTGGGCAGAAAGAGATTTTTTTTTTATTTTTTTTTTGAAGCTTTTCTTTTTAGGGGGAGAAGAATCTGTTCTGAGCCCGTCAGACACTGAATTTCTACCTGACCTCGTTCCTTGGGTCTCAGGTCCACAGTGAAGTTGTCACAGCTCCAAGTTCCCACACCTCAGCTGTGCCTGGGGAGGCATCAAAGTGCACATTTTATATCTTCAGAGAGTTAAGGCAGTGTTTTAGTGCTAACTCATGTTACCTGCTGGCAAATAAAAGGCACCAAAGTGTGTGTGTGCACAGTGTTGCTCAACTGCCTTGTAATAACTTGGCTGAAGGTGTTTATCCCTTGATTTTCTGTGCTGCATAATTCAGGTCCCTTCTTGATGAAGCAGGTTAGTTCTGTGTCTGCAGTAAAGAATTAAACTGGGAAATTCTGATTTATGCTATGGGCAGGTGTGTTAAAACAGGCTCAGGTGCTGTGCAGTGTCAGTGGGGAATGGATAGGATAATAGGATAACTCAAAAATCTTTTTCTTTCCATGGTTTATTTTTGTACAACTTTGTGCAAAGAAGGAACTTGAAATATGACATCTCTTAATTCCCTGTTATGCTGTCACAAATATTTTAGCATGCAGTTTCTTGCCACTAGGTGGAGATTTTATATATTTTAAATAATGTGCATAAAACTGATAAACTTTATTAAGTTTATCATAAACTGACAATTTAACAGGTAGAATGAGAAATACTTTTGATGGTTTCTCCTTGGGGTGGGGAGAGGTGTCAATAATAAGTGGCTTCTGGATGGAATTGTAATAAGGATAACTCAAAAATCTTTTCCTTTCCATGGGGATTTTTTGGCAACTTCCTGCAGAAAAGAAATTTTAAATATGACACCTTTTAATTCCCTTTTATTCTCGCATAAATATTTTTAACATGTAGTTTCTTGCCACTAAATGGAGATTTTATATCTTCAAAGGATGTGCATAAAGTTTGATAAACTTGGTGTTATTAACAGACAGAATGAGAAAAACCCTTGATGGTTTCTCCTTGGGATGGGGTGAACTCTTCCCCTTTATTGAAATCATTCCCTTCCTCCTCCTGGGGCAGCTATTGGTAGGCAGGAGGGGTTGGGTTTGGTGTGGCAGAGATGGAGATTCCTCAGTGGCATAATAACAAACCTGTAGAAACTCTGTGTTGTGCAGACTGTCAGCAGGATAAGCCAGGCTGGGACAAAATCTGTCTTCTCCCAGAGTGGGAACAGTCGGGAAGTCACTCCAGTTCTCGTTGCACAAACACAGAGCTCTGGTCCACAGACAAGGTAAGAAATCAAGTCCTCTTGGCTTTGCCTTCTGCTTCTGTTTTCTTGAAGGAATTTGGTGCTTTGTTTGCCCAACTTGTGTGGGGTGTTCCTGCAGAATTCCTCTGTGGGTGAGGAAGTGTGGGGTTCTTCGTTAGGTGAAATAACTCCAGTTATTTGTTGAGGTAATTTAAATGAAACAGTTGAATCTCCTGTGCAGTTACACCATTTTCATCAGTAAATAAATAGCTGGAAGGAAACTCTGCTCTTATTCTTGACGTGCAACAAGTAAATTTGGGGTTTTATCCCTTGAAATGGGAATATCTGTGCTACAGTACTTGAGCATTGCTGTTTAAAACAAATATAAAAGCTGTTATTATTTAAAAAAGGAGCAAAGGACTGTGTTTTTTTGATGTGCAATTGTTTTCTTTTTGGTTTCCAGTACAACACCTCAGGTATTGAGCCCCACAATTGCTGCTCCACCAAACTCACTGCCTCGAAGAAGCTCTCGCCTGTTTACTAGTGATAGTTCTACAACAAAGGTAACAAACCCCATCCTTTGGGAAATTTGGGGCTTCCAACCCATTCCACTGTACCAACTCTTAATTTCCAATATTTATAGCAATTTTAGCAGCTTAAGAACAGGTTTTTTAGTCATTCTTTAGTGTTACATATAATTTTACACGATTCACTCAGGTTTAGTTTGCTGAATTTAAAAGACTCTTTGATATGTAACTCTCACTCTTCTTACTTGCAGGAAAATAGCAAAAAATTAAAAATGAAGTTTCCACCTAAGATTCCAAACAGAAAAACAAAAAGTAAAACAAATAAGGGAGGAATAACTCAACCAAACTTAAATGACAGTTTGGAAATCACCAAACTGGACTCTTCCATCATTTCAGAAGGGAAAATTTCCACTGTTGCACCACAAATCCAAGCTTTTACGCTCCAGAAGGCAGCAGCAGGTCTGTTTGAACACTACTGGACTATAGTAAAATTGAATATATCTATTTTTTTTTAATGTGGAATGAAAAAATAATGTTGCTTCAGTGTTCCTTTGTTTCCTGTTTCATTTAGCCTGCAGCTCTCACCTTTGTATGATTATAAAAACTGATTTGATTCAGTGTCTTCTTAACTCACAACGTGTGAAGAAGTGTTAAAAGTGGCTAATTGTCAGCAGATATATCTTGCAAGCTTGTTCTTGTTAATTATTAAAGTATTTTCTAGTTATTGATATATAAAGTCTTATAAATTACATCTAGTATATTATTTATAATAGTACAATATCTTATACTGTTATAATTATACCAAAACATTATATTACAGAATATTAATAGAATAATATAAATTATTGTAAAGTACTAATGATTCAAGTATTATCCTTGGAAGCTCAAAGGAGTTGCTCATAACCCAGCCATCTTCCCTCAAAGTGGGGTTTATGTGGTCTGTTCTCCCTTCATATTTCCCATTTGTTTAAAAACAAGTTCTTTATTGAGACTGTGAGAAAAATCTTAGACAAACTGCTGAATTCCTCCCTTTGGGCTCAGCAGTGTTTCCAGGCAGCAGGAAGATGTATCCATGGCTACCACGTGGCAACTGTGCTCAGACCCAGTGAAATGCTTGAAAAGCTGCTGGAAATGCAGAATTCCACTTGCCCTGAGCTCCAGAGTTCCTTAGGAACTCGTTACCATCCGACTTCCCTCGCAGAGGTTGATGTTCAGAATATCATGTCTAAGGCTGTGTTTGGAAGGAGATTTTTCACAGGCAAATCCCAGAGCCACAACAGAGAGCTTTTGGGATGAGCAGCTTCAGGGAAATAAATCTCAGCTGTTCTTCCTTTCCTTTGCCACTCCTTACTTACTGTGTTTTTCTCCCAGAAGGTTTGATGAGCCTTCTCCGGGACATGGGGAAGGGTTATTTGGCCTTGTGTTCCTACAACTGCAAGGAAGCGATAAATATCCTGAGCCACCTGCCCTCCCACCACTACTACACAGGCTGGGTGCTGTGCCAAATTGGGAGAGCCTACTTTGAGCTGGCAGAGTACATGCAGGTAGGACCTGGGGGGGTTGCTTTTCCTCTTTCCACTTTCCTTTGGCAGTTTTTTGCCTGAAACCTGTGGAATTCCCACAAAATCCATGCGAAGTTTGCAGTTGTGATAAGTGTGGAAATATGAAGGTTATAGATGGAGTGGGTTTAGATGTTGAATCTGCATCAGTAGAGCTTCATCACTGAGCTTTCCTGAAGGTTTCTTTTCATATTATTTGCTCTTGCACCCAACTGTTGGGGTCTCCTCCTTGTCTCTCCCCATCAGCTGTGCTGATGGAACTGGTTGTACAGTGGTGGAAATCAGAAACAATCTGAGCCCTAAACCAAAAACCTCCTCTGTGTTTTAGTTCATTCAGATCACATCAGTGACCCAGTTTCCCTTTCAGCCTCAGCACATTGGCACAGCTGAGGTGGTGGCAAACTGCTTCCAAAACAGAAGTGAGCAGTTCAGGGTAACCCCACAGATTAACTCTCCTTGGCTCTGCTGTTCCTGGCAGCTGATGTGCCCCATTTTTTTTTTCAAATTTTTGAAACACTTTTTGGCAGAATGTGTG